TTATGACCATACGTGTACTTACAGCTCAGACGGAGCCTTCTGATCTGTGCAAAGTAACGGGAAGATACGCGTCTCCTCGCCTCATCCTTCGTTACACCCTGGATGACGCTGCTCGCCTCCTCGTTGCTAAGCAACAGTGCAGCTGCTGTCAAAGAATTCAGGGGGATGTTTGGGCAGCGGTGTGCTTTAGGGGGAGGTGTGTGTATGGGGGGTGTTGTATGCAAAAGTGTGGGGCTCTGTTGGCAGTGTGAGTGAAGAGAAGAAAACTTTTGTTAATTTTATAACCTTTACCTCAAAACAAAAATGTTGTTGCATAATTCAGACTTCCATCAAAGTGTTCTCCAAAACTTATTTCATTTACGGGATAAACGTCATAAAGCAACATCCTGTCGGTTTCTGAAGGTAATAAAATCACTAAAATGAGGTTAGCTGTGTTCAAAGCTTCATTAACGATAGGAGAATTTACAAGCGTGTGTATAAAACTGTTAACAAGATAATGTGGACACAAATAAACAAACTTAAAAAGGTTCCACTGCATCTTACGTGTATTATCTCAAAAAGAGCTGTGATTAGCTTCCTTCCTAAGTTTTTTTTTTGTCAATCCACTAAATCCACCATCACTTTAAAGAATCAAAAGAAATATTTGCACATGACGGTGTGCCACCATTTTATAATCATTCTCTTCAGGGGGAGCTGCAGAAGTTTGCACATTAAGGGAATTTAAATGTAGGTTGGTGTTCCTTTATTGGGGGTTATGAACAGAGAACAGGTGGTGGACACACACTTCAAAAACACTTGAGTAACTCCAAACAGAACCAGAACAATCAAGTACCAGAGATAAAAGAACACAGATCCAGATAGTAAACTTACAGAGTTAATAAAATGAGACGTTTAAGCTCTGTTGAATTCCTCAGCTGATTAACGTTTGATTCTTCCATTTCTGTGAGGCCTTTTTGTTATTAGTGTTTAAAACTAAATCTAAAGTTAATGATAGGCATCGTTTGATCAGGCTAAGGCAAATGCCACGTTTATAGATTTACAAATGGAAGAAACTTCAGTTTAAGCATTATATTTTATTTGTTTTAAATTGTTTATAGATAGATCGAAAGCCGATTATTCTGCTCTTTATATTCTAATAATTTATTTATTAATGTTGGAGGTTTCCTGTGAATTCTGTGGAACTTCATTCTGTATGTCTGTTCAGTAATCTCTCCGCGTTTTGGAGTAAAATTAGTTTCTCCTTCACCGTGACCCTCCAACAAAGCAGCAGCAGGTAGATTTATGGGAGGAGAGTCTGTTTGTCCACTGGCCCTTTTCATAAAACTCTCCTCCCAATTTAGCTCTTTGTCCGTTTGACTCTGTGTTGCCTTCACAGCCTTCCTCCTATAAATAAAAACCACAACCTCTCCTTTCCTCCTCATCCTCTGTGGCTGCAGCTCAGCGACAGGGAGGAGATGCCTTCACCAAAGAAGGTTTATTTTAAAGGTTCCTTGCTCTCTCTCTCTCTTTCT